AAATAAATAAATAAATAAATAAATAAATAAATAAATAAATAAATACTGGCAACTCAAATCCAAGTACTCCTCAGAAATCATCCACTATGATCAAGTAGGCTTCATCCCAGGGATGCAAGGATAGTTCAACATACAAAATTCCATCAATGTAATCCAACATATAAACAGACAAAGAAAAACAACATGATCATCTTACTAGATGCTGAAAAAGCCTTTGACTATATCCAACACCCCTTCATGATAAAGGTCCTGGAGAGATAAGGAATAACAGGAACATATCTAAACATGATAAAAGCAATATACACCAAACCAACAGCCAACATCAAACTAAATGGAGAGAAACTCAACACGATTCCTCTAAAATCAGGGCCAAAACAAGGCTGTCCACTCTCTCCATACCTCTTCAGTATTGTACATGAAGTTCTAGCTAGAGCAATAAAACAACAAAAGGAGATCAAGAGGATACAAACTGGAAAAGAAGAAGCAAAACTTTCACTATTTGCAGATGATTATGACAGTCTACATAAGTGACCCGGAAAACTCTACCAGAGAACTCCTACAGCTGATAAACACCTTCAGCAAAGTGGCAAGATACAAGATTAACTCAAAAAATCACTATATATGGACGATGAATGGGCTGAGAAAGAAATCAGAGAAACACCACCCTTCATAATTGCCACAAACAACATAAAACACCTTGGGGTAACGCTACCCAAAAAAAAGTGAAAGACCTGTACCATAGAATTTTGGGTCTTTAAAGAAAGAAATTAAAGAAGATACCAGAAAATGGAAGGATCTCCCGAATTCTTGGATAAGTAAGATCAACATAGTAAAAATGGCAATCCTGCCAAAAGCAATCTACAGATTCCATGCAATCCCCATCAAAATCCCAGCACAATTCTTCACAGACCTTGAAAAAACAATTCTCAACTTTATATGGAAAAACAAAAGACCCAGGATAGCCAAAACATCCCTGTACAAAAAAGGAACTTCTGGAGGAATCGCCATCCCTGATTTCAAGCTCTATTATAGAGCTATAGTAATGAAAACAGCTTGGTATTGGCACAAAATAGAAAGGTAGACAAATGGAATCAAGTTGAAAACACTGATAATAACCCACACTCCTACGAACACCTGATTTTTTACAAAGAAGCCAAAGCTATACAATGGAATAAAGAAAGCACCTTCAACAAATGGTGCTGGCATAACTGGATGCTGGCATGCAGAAGATTGCAGATAGATCCATGTCTATCGCCATGCACAAAACTTAAGTCCAAATGGATCAAAGACCTCAACATAAACTCAGCCACACTGAACTTATTAGAAGAGAAAGTAGGAAATACCCTTGAATGAATTGGTACAGGAGACCACTTCCTGAACATAACACCAGTAGCACAGACACTGAGATCCACAATTAATAAATGGGACTCCAAAACTGAGAAGCTTCTGTAGAGCAAAGGACACAATCAAAAAGACAAAATGACAGCCCACGGATTGGGAAAAGATATTCACGAACCCAACATCCGACAGAGAGCCCATCTCCAAAATTTACAAAGAAGTCAAGAAGCTAGTCTCCAAAACATCTATCTAATAATCCAATTAAAAAGTGGGGTACAGAACTAAACAGACAAGTCTCAATAGAGCAATCTAAAATGGCTGAAAAACCCATAAGAAAGTGTTCAACATCCTTAGCTATCAGGGAAATGCAAATCAAAACAATTTTGAGATATCATCTTACACTTGTCAGAATGGCTAAAATCCAAAACACCAATGACAGTTTATGCTGGAGATGATGTGGAGAAAGGGGAACACTCTTCCACCCCTCCTCCACTGCTGGTGGGAGTGCCAACTTGTACAGCCGCTTTGGAAATCAGTATGGCGACTCCTCAAGAAAATGGGAATGAATCTGCCACAAGATCCAGCAATTCCACTCCTAGGCATATACCCAAAAGAAGCACATTCATATAACAAGGACATCTGTTCAACGATGTTCACAGCAGCATTATTTGTAATAGCCAGAACCTAGAAACAACCTAGATGTCCCTCAACTGAAGAATGGATAGAAAATATGTGGTATATTTACACAATGTAGTACTATTCAGCGGAGGAAAAAAAAACAAAAACAAAAAACAATGGAATCTTGAAATTCGCAGACAAATGGATGGAACCATTCTGAGCTAAGTAACCCAGTCACAAAAAGACAAACATGGTATGTACTCACTCATATATGAATTTTAAACATAGAGCAAAGGATTACCAGCCTACAATCCACACTGCCAGAGAAACTAGGAAACAAGGAGTACCCAGAAGGGGAAAGGGACAAAATCTCCTAAACTAATGGTGATCATGGGGGGAGGGGAGAGGAAGTTAGAAGAAAGAGAAGGGGGGAGAATGGGAGGTGGAGAATAGTACATGAGGAAACAGGAAAATTTAGTCAGGGGAGGAATTGAAGAGAACAAGAAAAGGGATACCATTATAGAGGGAGATATTACAGGTTTAAAGAGAATTCCTGCACTAGGGAAATGTTCAGAGACCTACAAGGTTGACCCAAATAACAATCTAAGCAATAGTTGAGAGGATACCTTAAAAGCCCTTCTCCAATAATGACATTGATGACTATCTTATATGCCATCCTAGTGCCTTCATCCAGTAGCTGATAGAAGAAGCAGATACCCATAGCTAAACACTGAGCTGAACCCTGGAATCCAGTTGCAGAGAGGGAGGACTGATGAGCAAAGTGGTCAAGACCAGGCTAGAGAAACCCACAGAAACAGCTGACCTGAACAAGGGATTGCTCATGGACCCCAGACTGATAGCTGGGAAACTAGCATAGGACTATTCCAGACCACGAAGGAGGATGTCAGTTTGGAGGTCTGGACAATCTATGGGGCCACTGGTAGTGGATTAGTATTTATCCCTAGCACACAAATGGACTTTGGGAGCCCTCTCCACATAGAAGGATACTCTCTCAGCATAGACACACTGGGGAGGGTCTAGACCCTGCTCCAAATGATATGACAGACTTTGAAGATTCTCCCATGGAAGACCTCATCCTCCCTGGGGAGCAGAAAGGGGGTTGGAAAAGAAGTTTGGGGGGGGGGAGTGGAAGAGGAAACTAAGAATGACATTTAAAAGAAGCTTGTTTCTAACTTAAATAAAAAAAGAAACATAAAACAAAAACAATCAAAAAACAATCCCCCCCCCCAAAAAAAAGACTTCTTGGGCATTCAAAAGGCCTACATTTAATCCCTAGTACTACAACAAACAAGCAAATATATCTCTGTGTATTCCTGGCAGTCCTGGAACTGCTCTATAGAGCAGGCTGGATAGTCTTGAGCTCAAAGATCTGAAGAGGAGGAGGAGGAGGAAAAGGAGGGACAAACAAAACATTTCCCTGTTGGGATGGGCTGGGCTGGGTTGGGCTGAGCTGGGCTGGGCTGGGCTGGGCTGGGCTGGTAACATAAAAAAGGAATCTCAGCACTCAAGAGGCCAAGGCAGGAAAATTAAAAGTTTGAGACCAGCGTTTGGTACAGAGGAAGTTACATTCTGGGGGAAATAGGGAGACCATAATTTAAAAGACAACTACAACCGCAAAGAAAGAAAGAAAACTTTAAAACCATATAAATACTAAGTGATTTAATCAATCTTGGAAAGAATTAATTGCTTATGAACTTGTTAATATTTCTGAGTAATTAAGTTTAGCAATATTCATTTCATGTGTGTTAAAAACATACCTAGATGGGTATGTTGGTGCATGCTTTTAATCCCAGCATTTGGGAGCAGAGGCAGGTGGACCTCTGTGAATTCTAGGCCAGCCTGGTCTACAGAGAAGTTCCAGGACAATCAAACCTTCCCAAAACACAAACAAAACCTACATAACTGTCTTTTAAACTCTATTACTACATGTGTGCGCCTGTGTATGTAGGCAGGGATTAGATGTGAGCAACCATGTGTAAAGGTCAGAAGACAACTTTGCGGATGTCAGTTTTTTCTTTCACCCCTTACAGAGATTCCAGTAATTCAGTAACAGTTCATCAGGCTTGCATGGCAATTTTTTTTAGCTACAAAGCCATCTTCCCAAACCAAAAATAACTTTAAACTTTTGCTTCATTCAGTTATATAATTTTAATCCATTATCTATCATAACTTTTACTTTCTACTATATGTCTTAATCAACTTTATTGCAATTAAGTGTAATCTACTTTGCCAATGAAACAGAAATGAAATAAGACAACAAATGTAATTACCTGAAAAAATACCTTTACTTACCACAGTCCATGATTCCTGCTCTTTTGGCTCTAGAATTGCAGAATTAAATATTTCAAGTAACTGTTGAAGTCCACCAGCAGCAACAAACTGTAAGCAATTGTGAAGGTAGTGATAAAGGAAAATCAGCTATACAGAATGATGACAATCTGTTCTGTTGAGTTAGTAGTAAGCATTTATAAAAATCTGTGTTTAATAGAAATGGCTGTCTACAAATAAAAATAATTTGGGAAAGGAATCATGTTTTTTCAGTGTAGCCCCTTAGTGAGGCTGTCAATTAGTTTCCACAAGCTTTGCATGCAAGTGGTACACACACATATATGCAGGCCAAACTCAAAAACATAAAAGAAAAGAAATCTTGAAAAATAACTTTAAAATACTGACTTATGGAACCTGAAAAGCACTTTTTCTAAATCTTTTCCAAAACAATTATGCTCAAACCTTGCAACTCCAAGAATTTTTACTATTTTCCACTTGATCTTCACTTGAATCATCAGAATCTGGATAAAGATCGCTGTAACTTCCCTGTAGGGAAGGCAAAAACATAAATAAGGGAGATTTCAGAAGAAAAACTTACTCTAGAAAAAAATAGTATTTAGAATTCTGCTGGAGTAACTCGGCCTTTACTGAGAGCAATGGAATGGTAATTACCGTTGACTCTCTCCTTATTCTTCTGTTAGGTTTTCCTAGTGCTTCAATAATTTCAAGAGCATATAACAACTTATGAGCACTTTTAATTTTGAGAAGTTCTTTCCAGTTAAGTCCATCGTTGCTCTAAAATTACAAAAAGAAAAATGGTTTATCAAGACAACTTCCTAAAACTCACAAAAATGAACATTAGTATAAACATTAGTACAAAATACAAATATTTTAAAACATTTAAATATAAGACAAGTATCAGAAATGGTACTAATAGCATGTTAAAAGCACAACTATTCATTACTATTAAAAGATGAAAAATTATTTAAAACAAGCATAGAAAAAGATTTAAATTAGAACACTGCTGTTTCTACTCTGAATATATGAACTAATGTAGCTTGCATGACATGTATCTTTGAAATGTTATTACTGAAGTGATCAATAACCATATTCTAGAGCTAATCCGTTTAAATTCAAGCAATTTGAGATGTCAGATGTTCTGAACTTACATAAAAGTGGAACAAATCAGATAATAAGTGGCACATACAATAAGCCATTTGATTTTGCATTCATTACATCAGTCTTATAGTAGATCTTCACTACAGAAACCCCTTGTGCTAAAGCTTTTAAAAGCAACCTTAGGGCAGGTATAATGGTGCTCACCTTTTATCTCAGCACGTGGCAGAGGAAGGCAGATCTCTGATGAGTTCCATGCCAGTCAAAGCTACATATTACATCTCTGTCTCCAAAGATGGGGGTTGGGAGTGGGGGGAGTAATGTTGAGGATGGACACATGACCAAGTGTAAGAATACATACTGCTCTGTATCTGAGTTTGGTTCCCAGAAATAATGTAGGATGGCTATCAACCACCTGTAACTCCAGCTCCTGGGGATCCAACATCTTCTTTTGCTTTAACAGGCACTTTTATTCAAGTGCACACGCCCCCACACAAGAATAAATCATTGAAAGTAATAACATAAACCTTTCTTTTGTTGTTTTTGGAGAGAGGGTTTCTCTGTGCAGCTCTAGCTATCCTAGAACTGGCTCGGTAGACCAGACTTGCCTGGAACTTACAGAAATCTGCCTGTATCTGCCTCCCAAGTGCTGGAATTAAAGGCATGTGCCGCCACCACTAGTCTATAAATCTTTTTTTAAAGTAATCTTTCATTGTAAAGGCATTCTTACAATGAAATCCAGTATCACTTCTATGAGTGATACTCATAAAACTGTCAAACATATATTAAATGTCTGCTGTGTTTTCCCAATTATGTCATATGATTTGTATAACAATCTAAAAAAGGTCTGGTGGATGTCACTTCATCACATTATATTTATCTAAACTTTACTACTTTTGTTGTCAAAAACAAATATTCAAAATGATTTTTAAAGCCTCATTAACAAACAGCAAATCCAGGGCTGAAGAGATGGCTCAGTGGTTAAGAGAACTCATTGTTCTTGTAGAGGACTCTGGTTTCAACTCCTGGCGCTCAAATGGCAGCTCAAAGCCATCCATCACACCAGTCTCAGTGGATCCCTCACCCTTCTCTGGTTTCTGCAGACTCCAGGCAAACAAATGGTGCACAGACATACATGTAGGCAAAATACGCATACACATTGAAAATAAAATCTTTTTTAAAAAGGCCAATCCCCATTTTTCTAAAGACAAGATAACAAAAGACCCTTCGTATTTTATTTAATGTTGTGTAACATTAAAAAAAAAATGGATATGTAAGCTGACACCTTTTTTCCTATTAAATTAGCAAAAGAGGAGTTGGTTAGATGGCTGAGTTAGTAATGTACTTTCCACACAAGCATAAAGATTTAAGTATGGATCCCAAACACCCTTTGAAAAAGCTGGGTATAGCTATCACATGTCTGTACTACTACCCTAGCAGGGCAAGAAATAGAGGAGGATACATTTGACTTAAGGGTCAACTTAGCCTAATCAAGTTACAAGTTCAGTGACAAGTCAGAGAGATCAGGAGGTTGGAGCACATGGGCTGACAAAGAAATCCAACAATGACTTCTGCCCTCCCCTTATATATGCAGAGAAACATCAAACAAGGGAGTACAAAGACTTTGTGAGCTCACCTGTTCATCTGAAATATTCTGGAATGCCATCAACATGTTTGGACATGTAGGAAGAAGCATCAGTAACTCCCACACACGCCTTGACAGATTTTCTGCATGAAGATGAAGTTCTTCACATTTTAAACTCTGCATAAACAAGAACAACCATTTTATCAAGACAGATCAGAAGAAATAAAAATTTAAACTTCACAGGCTGGAGCATTGAGTGGCCGCTGGCAGAGACCACCACAGCAGCAGCTCCCAGCAGTGGTTTTCAGAAGCCATCCTAAGAAGTTCCTCTGAGAAAGAGCACCTGAGTCCCAGCCAGAATCCACATTTCTCAGAATACCCGAGCCTTCAGCCTGCTTCAAAAATAAAAATGATGAGATTGCTATATCCAGATCAGTTCTAATCTCCATAACTGGTTCTTTCTCAACCTCTTAATTCATATTTCAGATGGTCTCATAGAAACAATACCAAACCAAACAACATACAAGTTGTTTTCTTCCACTTATGCTCCCCTTAAAATTAAATGCACGGCAGATTTCATCCTTAAAACCTATTTTATCTGAAAATATTTACTTGTTAATATACTTATGAGGCATGTCAGCTGTCTTCTACAGGTGATTCAATGGAGGCTCAAATTGCCTATTTTGATCATCTTTGTAAACAATACTTTTATTGTAATATGCCTAGGTCATATTAAGCACTTAAATAGTCAATCAACAACAAATGGTTCAAGCAAATTAAAAAACCAAACAAACAAAAATTACTTAGGTTGGGTGAAGGTAGTGCACACCTTAAACCCAGCACTTGGGAGACAGAGGCAGCCAGATCTCTGTGAGTTCAAGGGCAGTCTGGTCTACAAAGTGACTTTTAAGACAGCTAGGAATACCCAGAGAAACCCTGTCTCCAAAAACAAAAGAAAACAAACAAAAAATGGCTCCTAGGCTAGGCTTTAACGTTAAGAGATTAGAAAATTATTTCTAAACAAAAAATATGCGAAAGAAATCTGATCATCACCTCACTGTCATCCACGGCCACTTTTCCTGACGGTGGTTTAAATGAAGCAAGCATTTCTAGTAAATCAAAGAGAGTGGTTAAATGAGGTTCTTGTAATAGCAAAAGCATCGGAATGTTGTCCTTTTGAGGTGGTGGGAGGCAAGATGCAGGCAGTTGAACACCTTCTCCTTTTCGTTCTCTCCTTGGTGCACCCAAAGATACAAATACCATCTAAAAAGCAAAAAAGAAAGATAGACAAAATAATAAAAGAAGTAGGAAAAAATATATTTAATAAAACAATAAAACTGAGGTAACATATAATTCCATTTAAAATTTAAATGCACAGTAGTAAGAAGTATTTAACTAGACTTCCTCCAACTATTCAATTATTAACTTTAAGAGACAAGAGATAACTAAAACTCAAACCACAATTTATGTACATACCTGCATATCTTTAAAACCAAGCTCATGAAGTGCTTTTTCATCATAGTCTGTTGTTAATTCATGTCCAGATGAGATCATCCTAACAGGCCCCATGAGGCTGCCTTAAAAACAACATAAAAGGGAAATAAACTGTTAATGCAATTTGCTAACAACAATACAATGCAGCAATAAACCCACTGTTTATTAAACTTCAATATAACTCCTGAGTTGTAAATATGAAAAGACAACATTTGGAACTTACTGCATTTCCCTCAGGACTAAAAACAGAAAAATCAGATTCCTTAATGTATTAGGTACACAAGAAACCAGCATGTTGTTCAACTGAACACTTACTCTTATAACATTATAAAATTAAAACCTAAATGTTTATATGGAGAAAAAACTACTCAAGAGCTCTCAGTTTATCCAATAAACTAGTATTTAAAAGACCAAGGAGCTTATTCAATAAATTCAGTACAGGAAATTTATTTTAGGAATGCCTAAGAGTCTTTTGCTGCTTTCCCTTGACTTCAGTTCCCACCACCTCCATCTACCTCACAATTTATACTTCAGTTACTAGGTTCCATGAGCTTTTCTTGTTTTGAGACAGTGTTTCACTATGTAGGCAAGGTCTGTAGATCAGGATGAACTTAAACTCAAGAGACAAACCTACCTCTTCCTCCCAAGTGATGGGATAAAGGTGTGTGCTGCCCTACTCAGCACTTTGCCCAGCCTGTGATACACACTGGGGAGGCTAGATCTCACTGAGTCTGAGGCCAGTCTGGTCTACATAATGAATACCAAGGCTATATAATGAGACTCTAAAAAGAAACAATGCAAGTTACAAACAAACAAAAACGTTTAATATATAAGCTGAAGACAGGACCACAGGAAGTATCCAGTGTAACAAGTCCATAAGGCAAGCCAGTGTTCAGAAGCACTGGAAAGCCTTTTATCAGAGAGGGATTAAAAAAAAAAAAAAAAAAAAAAAAAAAAAGGAGCATCAAGATGGTTCTTGTTCTTAATCTGGGCAACACGGGTTTCTATACTATCATTAATTTTACACGTTCTTTAGGTATTACTCATTGAAATGTGTATGTGGTGCATTCACTCCTACATGAGTGTTCGTGGGGCTGTTGAGGACACAGGTCTACTTTGGGTGTCTTCTTCTCATACTCTCTACATTATTTTTAGAGACAGGGTCTCTCCCTGAATGTAGAATTCTCCTTTCTGTAAGATCTGCTTCTAGGAGGAGGGATGTCTACCTTTTTCCCTAGGGCTGGGATTATAGTCAGGCTGCTAGTGCTTGGCTTTTACATAGTTCCAGCAATCCAAACTCAGGACCTTATACTTGTGTGGTAGGCCTTTATCTAGTGAGCCATTTCTCCAGGCTTTTTTTTTTTTTTTTTTTTTTTTGCTTTATGTTTTCCGAGACAGGGTTTCTCTGTGGCTTTGGAGGCTGTCCTGGAACTAGTTCTTGTAGACCAGGCTGGTCTCGAACTCACAGAAATCCGCCTGCTTCTGCCTTCCGAGGGCTTTACCATAAGTAAAGCAGATAATTCCAGGACTAGAAATTCAGTATCATCATACTTACTCAAAATACATGAAGTACAGTACACACAAGGGTAGTCTCTGTGACACTATGTACAACAACCAAACAATTGAATCTGAGTGTGGCACCACACACCTATAACTCCAGTTATATGAAAAAGGAAAGCAAGCAGACCTCAATTTCTAGGCCACCCTGAGTAAGTTGGTAGGTAAAATCCCATGTCAAAAAATAAAAGTTTAAAAGAACTGAGGTATACTTGGTAACAGAGTGATCATGCACAAGGCCTATGTCTAGTCACCAGTAAGAGATAAAAGAGGGAGGAAGGAACAATGGCTGGAAACAACTTAAGCTTTTATTACTGAAAAAGACATCAAATAATCAAGGTTCTGTCCTGCAAAAAACTCTATATCTCAAAAAGAACATGGTAACTTTCAGCATATACTAATATGAAACATTTTCTAAGATGACCTAAACATGATGTTCCCATTGATTCACATATGTATGTATGTATGTATGTATGTATGTATGTATGTATGTATGTACTCACATTTATAACTGGTATTTTTTAAAAGGTATCTATGAAACCAGTTGACCATGTCTCAGAAGGAAGTTAGTTAATAAGGAAGCCAAGCTAAGAGGGAGACTTGAACACATCTATTATCTTCACTTATCATCTATTGTTAACTCTAGATCTTAAAAACTTTTTAAAATAAGGTTTCTTTTTTATTTGTTTTTTTAAGGTTTTATTATTTTTAATTACTCATACTTACATATACATCCCTCCCATTCCCTCACCCTCCCCTCCTCCCATGTTCCCCCCTCCAACCTACCCCCCCACTCCTCCCCAGGGATAGTGAGGCCCTCTACCAAGAACCTTCAAAGCCTGTCATATTGTTTGGGGGAGGACAGAGGGCCTAGGCCCTCCTTGCTGTATCTGGGCTGCAAAAAGGTTTCTCTCTGTAGATCTGGCTATCCTGGAACTTGCGGAGTAGACCAAGCTGACCTTGAACTTATGGAGATCCTGCCTTTGTTTCTTTAGTGATTGGATTAAATATGTTAGGAAATCTTTTTCAAGATTGATATTTTAAATTTCTTCCTAGACTCTGTGTGTGTGTGTGTCTGTGTGTGTGTGTAAAGAAGCAAATATTCCATGGCACATGCATGTAGAAGTCAGAAGATAATTTTTCAGAACTGGTGTTGCTCTCTTTCCACCATGTGGCCCCAGTAATCAAACACAGGATTTTCAGGTTTGGCAATAAGCACTTTCACCCACTAAGCCATCTCACTGACCCAAGATCTTACACTTGGGAGATACAAATGAATTCATCTTAAACATATTGCAGTCAAATCTTTTGGACTTAAAACACAGTTAATCTAAGAATGAGCTTTCTGGTCTTTGTTTTAAATATGCATCAGTATTCTGTACAAACAAAGAATCCCTTGGCTAAATTTAATTAGTTTGGAATTCCTTACCTAAAGGTACACAGAACAGTATTGATATCCAAAAGTGTTTTAGATTTCAGAATTTTCCAATATTTACAACACATGTATCCTATACTAATAAATCATTCCTAATCCAAAACTTCTACATGAAAAGATTTATTGAAAAGCAAAAATTAGCAGTAAATGGACATCTAAGGTCAACAATTACAAGATTTTATCACATCAATTCCCAAATCATTTTTATGGTTATATCAAAAAGCCTAGAGAGAGATCATTAAGAAATCTTCGTACACAAATGCACCAAAGCCAGACTGATGGCCTGTGTTTGACTCCTGCAATACACATAGTACAACTGACTCCTACGACTTGTCTCTGCACTGCCACATGCGCTCTGTGCAATGCACAAACCACACACACAATAAAAAAATGAATAAAAGTTTATTTTTAGAAAGCCTAAAAAGAATCCTCTGAGAAACAAATGATGTTTGCAATGAAAAGCCCAACCACTGTTCTAATGACACCTAACACAAATGATACCAAGAGCAGGGAAGTGGCTATTAAGACCTTTAAAAGCTTGATTGTGACCTTCCACTTTCCACAATGCAAGAGAAGAAGGCATTGTAAAGAAAGCAGCCCTTAACAGATTCTGGAACCTTGATCTTACACTTTTCAGGACAGTGAGAAACAAACTTCAGCTGCTTATAAACTGTCTGGGCAAATGTGATAGCTCACACCTGTAGTCCCAGCACTTTGGAAGCCCTGGCAGGAGGATTCCTGAGAGTCTGAGTCCAGTTTTGGGCATAACAGTGTGTTCTAGGTCAACCTGGACTCCAGAGTTAAGATCCCATTTCAAAATTTAAACAAATGATGCAAAAAATAAGAAATCAAAAACACCAACAATAAAACACCCTTTAATTTAAGAGCTGTTAAAGCAACACAAGATGGACCAAGACAGTTGCTAAACAATAAAGCATAAACTGTATTGAACATGTCAAGTGTTTAACTTACCAGGAAACTCTCCTTTTCTGCTGCTTTGACCAAACTCCTGAAGCTGAGCTTGCTGATTTATTTGTTCTTTCTGTAAGTTTTCATACCAATGAGTTACTTCAGCCCTAAGATCTGCTACCTGGTCACTAGGATACATTTCAATAGTCATCTGAAATGTAAGATGCAGCCAATTAAAAATTACAAACTGCCAGACCCCAAAACAACAATCAATGATTTGAAAAGAGAAATGTTACCAAATTTGGGAATTAAACCCTGTTAACTACCTTGTCAGGAAGTCCAGCAGGCTGACATACAACCCTTAGAGGCAAAGACTGTTTGTCACTCAGTGCTTTCAAATGACTACTAATACCAGTGCCCTCAATTTGCCACTGTCTCAGATGATATGCAAATCTAAAACAACACAAAAACACATACACAGAGGAGACCATTTAGAACACTTTAATGTTACAGAAGTTTTTAATATCTGACAAGATGGAAAAGTCCATAACAGGTTATACCAACTATACATTCAACATAGTGAACTGAACATCAAAGACAGCTAAGAATTCCTAATTAAAACAGACTTGCAGAAAAACTTCTGAAAGAGAAAATCCTATTATATAAAGTTATTTATTTAAAGGGAATAGGAGGAGAAACAGGAGGAAAGTAAAATAGAACTCAACATTAATCTAATAATGAAGCATTAAGTTACCATTTTTACATTTAGAAGAAGAAAAGGTTTAAAAAAATTCCGAGAAAACATATTTTACAAAAGTACTCTTCAGATGTAATATATTCAAACAATCTAAATCAGTTTAACAGAATATGAGATTAAATTTTATTGATTAAAAGCCTAATATTAGTGACTAGAATGATGTTCTCTTGAGGAGGCAATGATGTTCAATTTTCAGTAACCACATAGTGGCTCATAACTGTCCGTAATTCCAGTGGATCTAACACTCTCTTATGGCATCCTTGAACCTTGGCAGGCACCAGGTACACATACATACATGCAGGTAAAACATCCATGCATATAAAATGAAACAAATTCATAAAAAGACTCTTTCCCCAACACCCACAGGCATCTAGCATGACACATACTAAATTCTTGAAAATTCTCTAATTCATTTTCAGTTGTGGAAGAGTCAGGTTCTTGATTTTAAATAACCGAATGAATGAATGCTTAAGATTAATTGGGAGTTCTGAAATAAAAGGATAGAAATTAACTTATTCCCTACAAGTGAAACAATATCCAGGTCTATGACTGAACAAAAGAGTAATTGAATTTTTCAAGTTTTAGTTTTTCCATCTTGCTTCCACTGACATTTTGAGCTCAATAATTTAAATTGCTCTTGGAGTCATTAGGCAGGCAATCATATACACCCTGAAGTGTTTACCAGCATCGTTGGTCTCTATTCAGTCAAAGTCAATTCAACCTTCTGCCCCAAAGGTATAATAACAAAAATGTTTCCAGATATTACTTACGGCTCCTAAGAAACAATATCACTTTTGAATGAAATTCACTGCTGAGATTAAACCTTTCTCTAAAAGGTAAATTCTTAAGATATTACTATTATTCACTACTGTACAAGGTATTTCAAATCATCTACATGATAAATAATTTAGATTTGCAATACTAAGCAAATGGAGCACTTGATAAACAGGAAGACAAGATGAGATTTGTTAGGTAATACATAACTTTTCAGGTACTACTTTGCATTTTTTTAAATCAATTTTATAATTCACGGTTTACTAGTAGAGATATTATAGAATTTAACAGCAATATTAATTTTAGCATAAAATAAATCAAGATACACATGAAAGATACAGCCCACTTCTCCACAGTAGGACAATACTAGTATCTATGAGAAGACTTTATGGAGTTAGGGCCTGAAGTCCATAAACTCATGAAAGGTACTGCTGAACCTTTGGAAATGAAAATAAGTACTGGTGAAACTACAATATTCAAGACCTAAGGATTTGGCATAACATGCCAGTTTGCTGCTCTTCACAGCACAAAATTCTTACAAGTAAACTAGTATATCATTTAAAGCAAGCCTAATATAAAACAGAGCAATTAAAGGACTTTGCCCCCCCCATATATAATATTTTAATGTAATGTTTGAGTTATACAAGTTTGTAATGACTTTTTAATGAATTTGAATAAGACTACCACATTTGCTTAATTTTTCTTTTTCTAAGGTGGTAAAGGTTCTGAGGCTCCAATGTTTCTACACAAAAATTCAAAAGTTCTCTTACACATTCTTTAAAAACACAGGAATTAAAATAAATTTCTAAAACTATAATTATAAAAGAAACTTGCACTAAACAAATGTTTGAAATCATGTACACATATTATAAAAAATGTGTAGGATCATCTTTCTCACTCAGTATTTCCTACCAGTTCAATAAAATGTCAAAAATATAAATTGTACATTATTTTATAAATGTCAAAACTAAGACCTGAAGTTGAAACAAGTTATTTTAACAAATTTTCAACACAGTTCTTAGTACTTCTACATTAATACTCATTGTTAAATGACTTTTAACAAACAGAATTTTGTAATTAAAACTATCTACTCACCTTTCATTTCGGTTGGTATATTCATAAATGTTAATTTGCTTTATTTCTGTATTACACAGGGTATGTCTAAATTAATTATACAGATATTCATTAACACAGAAAGTTTTGGTCATGTTTCCATGGTAAATGGAAATTCAAAATTAAAATACTCTCTCCTAGTCCAGGAAGAAAAAAAAACAGCAAATGAAACAAATGATTCAACTTGATAAAATATGAAAGATTATATGATGTTGTTGGGAAGAGTTGTAGTGTAACTTGTCTCAGTGTTGGTGTTCCTGTCTTTTTAGTCATAATTAACACCTCTGTAGAAACAGAATTGTGTCAGCTTCTTATTCATGCATAAAAGCTGAGCCTCAATGGCAAAATGATACATCAGTTTCTATAGCAACAATTTCCATTACAACCCATTTAGTTTGGGTAAATTATGCCCAGGATAAAAACATTAAGAATACCTTTAGACATGTTAACAATAAAAATACTGCAATTCATTCTGTAATATAGTGTAACAAAATTACCTTCTCCTAAATGCTTCCAGATGTGTCTTCAGCATAAGCAGTCCTCTCTCTATAACTGTCAGACTTGAGTGTGATTCCTGTTCAAGACTGCTGGAAGCTATCATAAGACTTTCCATGCACTTGCTAATAAATTCTTGCTCCTTTTCCAAACCCGTTTTACCTGAAACTCAGACATATATGCATTATACTTTTACATTTCTATTTACCTGTATTAAAGAAAATGAATCAAACTGAAGCTTAATCAAATTTCCTCACATAAAAAAGTACTTATCAGAACTGGGGGTTTCCTGTTAGTCCAGGACTCAGGAAACTGAGGCAGAAGAATTGAGACTTCAAAGCCAATTATGGATACATAGCAAAACTGAGTTTCAGAAAAAGAAATACAGGCTGGAGAGATGGCTCAGCAATTAAGGTCACTGCTGATCTTCCAGGGGACTCAGGTTCAATTCCCAGCACCCACATGAACCATCTGTAACTACAGTTCCAGGAATTCTGACACCCTGTTATGGTCTGTGGCACTGCACATATACCACATTCAGACACACACACATACACATAAAATAAAAGTGCCCCCCCCAAATTTTAAAGAAACAAAAAGAGAAATCTTGAAATTTAAAAAAAAAAATGAATTTTACTTTTTGAACAGTATTTTGAAATTACTTACCATTAATGTAGTAGGAGTTAATATATTGAATAGCTGCTCGACTGACATCACCTGATTGTGCTCTTAATGCAATGCCCCAAAACTGGTCCATACCACACAGCTAAGGATTAAAAATAAGACATTTTTAGGTTTTGTATGTTAAGTGGCAGATTATTAGAGTAAAATATCAAATATGAAATTAAACATTAAACTTTAATACTTTATAAAGTATTAAGAAGGCAATTTATAGTAATTGGACATTATAAAATATAATCATCATCATCAACAAAAGTTTACAAACTTCCTCAGATAATGAAGAAATTTTAAAGCCAATTGTTTTTATTTATAAAGCACAAAAACAATATGATGCTTAATAAATTATATACTATGAAAACTTCAGCCCTATCATGTTTTATATAATTGGAGATAGCTCAGCAATTAAGAGCACTGCTGCTCTTCCAGAGGACCTGGGTTCAATTCCCAGCACCCACATAGCAGCTCATAACTCTGTAACTCCACTTTCAGGGGATCTGACACATTCAACATCAATGCATATAAAATGAATTTAATGACATTATTTAAAAAAGTAAAAAATAAAAAAAACATGCCACAAAGGAATAAAATCAAGAAATTATAATAATTTGCACAATACTCCAATGCTTTTCCTTGAAGTTACACTGAAAAAGCTACCACTGTCATGCTGACAGTCATAATTTAGTGGACACAGTAACCAAGTTCTTATTCAAATTACTGATGTTAACTATGGGATAACAAAAGAAATGTTTCTGCTAGATGCTGCACAGAAACAGCTGAAGTGAAAGCTCTCAAATGTGGACAGAGTGAAAAAAGATGATCTTCCAATGGATGACTGTAGAGCCTAAGTATCAGCTAGCAGAACCTAGTTATTAATTAGGCAAATCAAGACTGTCAGATACCTTGAAATTATTAAATAGAAACATAATAACACTAGTGTTAAGATTAAAACATTAGAAACACTAACAAAACAAGCCCCACAGCCTGGAGAAATGGCTCAGTGGTTAAGGGTTGCCCTTCCAGAGGTCCTGAGTTTAATCCCAGCACCCACATGGTAACTCACAACCATCTGTAATGGGATCTGATGCCCTCTTCTTGTGTGCAAGAGAAGAGCACAAATGTACATGAATAAATAAATCCTTTTACAAAGTCCCACATCATGAAAAAACAGTAGTAGGAAGATTGCAAAGAACACAGTAGATAACAAGTAAAATAATTACTTTGGAAGAAACATTTCATGTAACCCAGGATGATCTAGAACTCACTATGTAGCCAAGAATAAATCTGAACTCCTGCCCCTCCTTTTTCTACTTCCCAAATCTTGAAATTATAGATGTACACTACTTTCCTTGCTTGGTTTATGTGGCACTGGTACTGAAACCCAGGGATTTGTGACTGCTGGCAGACCATTCTACAAACTAAGCTATATCACCAGCTCTAAAATTACTTTTTATAATACAGATTAATAACAATTTTCTCCTCCTGATATAAAACAAACTTAACTGCAAATAATACTCCAAAAATAAAAGGGTAATTTTAGTTGACTAAACGAATGTCTGACAAGGAAGACCTTTAACTAACATTTATTTTAGAAGAATATAGGGACAATCATCCAAATACATTGCAGTCTGGGGAAGGGGAACAAAGATGAGACTAAAAATTTGTAGGAGTGGGCAGTCAATTAGCTAATCATAATTACTGATTTCTGTGGATTATTTCAGAAGCAGTCACTATAAATTACATATATATTACATATTAGCATATACTGCTAAATAAAGGAGCAAAAATGTAGCTATAGCAAATGACATACATATTGGAATTAAAAGACTAAATAAAGGAGCAAAAATGTAGCTATAGCAAATGACATACATATTGGACTTCAGAGCCAGTGAAATGGCTCAGTGCAAAGAAGTGCTTGTTGCCAAATCTGGTGGACTGACATAGAGAGCAGGATACATATGGAGAAGAGCAGGTTGACTGCTGTAAGCTCTGACTTCCACATACAAATAAATAAATGTTACTAAAAGTCATTTCACACAAATTAAGTCTTTCATAAAATATTTAATTATGTTTTCCAAGATCTGCAAAGAGAATTACAGAACAGGTAACCCTCCTTCTAAACAAATCATAGAGCAAGTAACAAGACTTTTATGAGGCAAAAGCATAGTTTTCTTTGGCAAGTAAAACAAAAACCACAATACCAAAATTGATTTAAAAGTCAAAATATGAAACATTTAAAGCTTGAAATAACAAGCAGCAGTGGTGCACACTGTTAATCCCCGCACTCAGGAGGCAGAGACAATCAGATCTCTGTGAGTTTCAGGCTAGTCTGGTCTACACAACAAGTTCCAAGACATCCCAGGCTACACAGAGAAACCCTGCCGGGGGTGGGGGTGGGGGGGTGGGTAAGATACTTGAAATAAAATGAAACTTTATAACAAAGTGAAAGTTTATAGAAAGTTAACTTGGTAATCTAATTTAAAGACAAGAAGCATCTCACAACCTGATCTGATAGAACATTAAGTCTTACCTCAGAGTGTGAGCCG